AGAGAGAGAGAGAGAGAGAGAGAGAGAGAGAGAGAGAGAGAGAGAGAGAGAGAGAGAGAGAGAGAGAGACAGCTGAAGTCCGCAGAAGAACTACTTACTACTTCAAGTCCAGTATCTATGGACAGGTGAACAGTCAAGAATCAAATGAGCTCACTGAACCGATTCTGATTCCAGTTACAGAATTGAACGCAAGTTGAAAAGGTAAGAGTGCAGAATCGGGGTCAAACCGTCAAACAGACGGAAAACATGTTTTTCTCCAGCCTGCAGAAAGCGCTGACCAAGGAGTCCAACAAGCTTTCAAAGATGTCGTGGACGGCAAAAATAGTACCCAAAAGAGTGTTGGTGGTTGTGGATGGGAACCAAAAACTGACAATTTTTGCTCCTCATAGCATGTTCTTTTTCGGCAATCTTCATCATCATAGACTGCCTGCTGTCATCGCCCAAATAGAACCCATGTCGCCCAGTCATAATAACTGTACCTAGATTGGAAGTTGCCCCAAGTACAGCTATAATGACTGGGCACTCCATTTGGGGGACGACGGTAATCATCATGGCAACATTACAACACATAAGCCATTTTGGTACGGTAGCCCCGAGCCTCTGAAGTTTTCGAAATGAGCCCATTGCCGCGGGCCGCGCACTGGTGGTGGTTTAACGGAGGACCGTCGAAGGTATATGCGGGAAATATGAGTCATTATGCCTTCCCTTGAATAGAGCGCAGGGGCGTAGCGACTTCAAAATGTCACTGTTTGTGAGCTGTGTGTTCCGTTCGTGGGCTGAGGGTAGGAAGAGCCATGGGGACAAATTGGGACAATTCAGTGCAAATGTGAAAGGGATCGCTGGCAGCTCGGTGCACTTGAAAGACCATCATATAAACGGTTTGGCGTCTAGTACATACCGTACCTGCCTGTTACTCTGCACTCGCTCCAACCGCCGCCTCGTGTCTATTCTCAGCTCCTCGATATTCGGGAGCTTTGAGCCCTCCTCCCTCGCACTCCCCAATGACCCATCATCGCTATCAAAGTTGGGCACGCCGTCGACCGCTTTCTCAGGTATTGGGCTCGGTATGCTGCCCATGCCAATGCCCTCGTAGCACTTCGCTAAGGGCTGCATGAGCGGTTGCACATCGACGAGCGGAGAGAAGACATCCATCTCGCCATTCAGCGAGCTCATCCTTGCAGTTTGCAGACTGCTGATAGCTCCATTTACCCTCAAATGATTAGGCAAAGTGCTGGAGACAGTTGACAAAATCACAGGTGGCCCCGTGCCACCACCAAATGATGCAGACATTGCTCCGCTCGCTGCTGTCGTTAACCCTAGGATCCCATCCGACGGTCCAGAGCCTTTCATTGAACTGTTTTGTTCCCGATCAACTCTCCTCGATGGCGCGGAGGCCGAACGAGCAGGGCCTCCACCCGTTGGCACTGTGTGCGACCTGGCACGGCCTTCCATTCCACTCGGCATCGGATCCGGAATGAGCGGGACATCCTCCGGTTTGGCCCCAAGAAGAGCAACCTCCTCGGACACTGTCGTCATTGCATCCATCGAACCTTTGCCCACAGGGCTTGGGGTGGAGTGTTGCCAACTCAGTGCAACCAATGCCTGCGTTCCAAATGAGCAAGCGTGTGCACACATCAGACCGCAAAAGGAAGAGAGGCAGCAAATGCACACACACACACACACACACACACATGTGGTGAAAATCCTTTGCACAAAAATGGCCAGAGCAATCATTCCTGTGAAATCCTCAAAGCATACATGCAATGGAATAGAGGCAATAGCAAACACTTGTTCCGATTGCCTTCCTCCCGAATGGAGTGAACGTTGTGTAACGAACAAACGCTTCCTTCAGGAAGTAGCTATCAACATTGTTGATGCAAGAACCATGGCCATTGCTCAGTGCTGCCCATTTCTTCCACTGTAACACTCCGACCCTTCTATCATTGGAAGATAAACACCGAGACCAATCATTCGCGACCAATACGAGAAACGCGAGTTCAATCAATTGACAGCTGTAGCAAGCATCCATCCATTCTCATGTCTGTCCTCCACAAAATACAAAGGCATGGCATTAGCACTCTATAAATTTTAATATGCTTAGGTTAGAATCCGTTAGATCATGTCTATATATGTATATATATATAGTCAAACAGAGCTGCCCGGTAAACCGTAGGCAGAGAGGGAGAAGAGGACAACAAACGAGGGGCTGTGGCAACTGTTTCCTCGGAGTTTCACTGACTCATATATATCGTCAAATAGAACTGCCCGGTAAACCGTAGGCAGAGAGGAAGAAGAGGACAACAAACAGAACTGCCCGGTAAACCGTAGGCAGAGAGAGAGAAGAGGACATATATATATATATATATATATATATATATATATATATATATATATATATATATATATATGCCCGGTAAACCGTAGGCAGAGAGAGAGAAGAGGACAACAAACGAGGGGCTGTGACAAACTGTTTCGTATAT